TCTCTCTCTCTCTCTCCATATATATATATATATATATATATATATATATGAATTCAACTGTTTATAATTAATGCTAAGCTATTATTATTTTGACTGTTACAGTAATCACATTAAGTTACCATAATAACATGCTGTCATCAGGATTGTTACTAATCATAACCAGCGTTGAACAGCTGACCCAATTCTGGTTTTCTGACTATACCTTTGCATTGTAATTTTGAACTCAAACCAGAAGACAAGGGAACTCCTAGATCAAGCGCATTGAAGCAAACTAGCTTTCGTGGGGGACTTTCTGGTGGAACTAACTCACATTTGCGTTACATGGAGAGGAAACCACGAAAATCTCACATCGTTAGCTCTAAAGCAATGAGATTCTATCCTAAAATCGGTTTACCATTCAAGATATTTTACATCAGCACTGTGGTCGGCGTCAAACAGGAGCAAAATTCATATCAACCAGCCACCATTGGGATTCGAACCAACGTGGGTCACCTCATTGAGAGGCATTTTATTTTATTGATTTTGTCTTTGAATTGTGCTCAATTTGTGATACTTCTTTATTTCCGTACATAAAGTTCTTAATTATATTTTGCTTGGCTTTCATGCCATTATATTCTGTATTCAACTAATTGAACTAAATACTTTTTCAAATTTGGCCACGAGACATTCTGTATTGATTTAAATAGTACTTTATATCTCGAGAAATTCAATTCGCCATTGAACCATAGCATCGGTATATCGGTGCAAAGTTCTTGCAACTTTAATAAAGTGCTAATTTAAACTATATTTTCCTTCAAGCTAAAGCTCAGTATCATCTAATCAAGTTTAATAAATAGGTAAATAAATTGCAAGCAGGCAATTTGTTAATGTTTGTAGCAAACTTGAACGATATTACGATTCAATACATCTCAAAATTTCAATCAGTATACTTATACAAAATTTCATCATTTGAAAAACTCAGTATTCAGTCAAACAAGTTACGCTGTTTCAAAAATAAAGAATTTCCCACCCTACTGAAAAGAAATGATCACTGATAAACATAACAGTTGTTCCTTAACTGATTACTTTGAAAATTTCAAATTCCCTTCTAATAATCAGTTTGAAATTTTGAAAAATAGTCTGTATATGTGTCTTGAAATAACAAGATAAACTTTCGTCCATAGTTGACGATATGTTTCTATAAGTGAAACTGGTAGGGAAAAATTATAATATTACAAATCATTTTGCTCTTATTTAGATTAGAAGGGGTACTTAACAAGGAAATAAACTTAATATCTTATTCTATTGCTATCTATCTCTTTCTTGGTGCTTCTTGGCTTTCTCTTACCGATAGAGGAAAAGGTTAAGCATAAAAAATTACTTTTTTGAATAGACTTTCTGCTGTAGTTTCTTTTTTAAGTTAGGGAAACTAATGATATTGCAAATTATAACGCTGGGGAATAAATTGTTTGCTATATTTACACTTGATCTTGCCTGATTCAGATGCGGGTATTTCAAATCTGAAATTAGTTTTAATCCTAAAACTAAAAAGATTTTGAAATGAAATTTCATTCAATTTATTTTTGAAATGTGCAAGTTTAAAGACGCTATATATGACAAGGAGGATCAGTAAATATTGAGAAAAACTGATGGAGGTAAGACATATTATCAGGACTAAAACTGCATTGGAACCCACTACCGAAAATGTCGTCGCACGTAATGTACTAGTGAGTACTTCTCTATGATGTACTTCTCTATTATGATATGTTTGAAGCACACAAAGAAACAATTCATAATAGGAAAGCGCCCCTAGTGGTTTATGACTACATTTTCGGGCATGAATCTAGCGGCAATTTTAATCCTGACAATGTGCCCTAACTCTGACAGAGATTTTCGCAATATTTACGCAATCCCCTGTTATTTATAACATCTTTAAACTTTTATATTTCGGCAAAAAAAATAGATTAAAAATGTCATTAAAAAACTGTAGTTTATAGAGAGAAACCGATTGCAAATTTGAAATCAGTGCTGAGAAAAAAATTAAGATCTGTTAAGAAAATCATATGCAATAGAAAACAAAAACAAAACTAAATATGTTCCCTAGTGAATAGCTCATTAAAATTTATATGATTTATTTTAACTAAATAACTATAGTATGAGTGAAATTAATGCAACAATAAGAAATTTATTTCAATAGTAATTGAAAAATCATGCTTGAAATTCAGCATTAGTTGAAAAAAAATAAGTAAGTTGAAAAATTATCAATTTTTGCTTTAGGTCATCATATTTATCATTGATAAAGATTTGATGAAGTAACTCGTGAAAATGTTATTTATCTAAATATTCAAATTTACGAACAAAAAGGTTTAAAAGGAAAAAATTGGAAAAAAAAGAATATATGCAAACAAAAATATTTATTTAATTCATTTAGTAATTTTTCTGCTCGTATGGTAACAATTTACCTGAAATTCTGGTTTTTTTTAAGTGCTCGTCCACACATTTGATTAAAAAAATATACAAAACTGGAAAGAAAATTTAACCGGATTAATAGTTTTTACGACATGCTCTAAGAAGTTATGATAAAATTACTAAATTTTAATGAATTTTATCCCATATTTCAAAACAATATTTNTGAAATTCTTGGTTTTTTTAAGTGCTTGTCCACACATTTGATTAAAAAAATATACAAAACTGGAAAGAAAATTTAACCGGATTAATAGTTTTTACGACATGCTCTAAGAAGTTATGATAAAATTACTAAATTTTAATGAATTTTATCCCATATTTCAAAACAATATTTTTAGAACAATTCCTAATTTTACCCAAACTATTACCAAAGGTTTTTGGAAAAAATTACCGAGCTTTTTGGTAATAACAAAGAGCCAGAAAGCCTTTAAATTTGTTAACATATTCTGATAGTTTTAATCTTACTTTTTTTCCTCAGTGCATGATTAAAAACCCTTTCATTTGATTGAAGTATGAATTTAAAAAGTCCAAACTGCTGAAACGAAATTTTTGGCAACAAGAAAATTTCGAAATGAATAATAAAGAAAGTAATTGATTTTTATTGATAATCATAAATTTTGTCGCTTTAAGAAGTTTCTAAATGATAGATAAATATAAAACTAGTTCATTGCTTCCTTTTTTTCATTATTTATTGCTATTTCATAGGAAAGAAATGTCACAAGTCTGAAAGATTAAACACATTTTTTTCATCAATACTTAAGGAATATTCATTGATAAAAGTCAACATAATCAGGAACAACAATACTTAAAGTCAATTTCGCATACTTTACCTTTGTGTAAAAAAGTACATCTACAGCTAATCAATAACTTAAATTTTATAAATCTTTTTTCGTTCGATTGTACAGTTACAATTTATTTTTGTTTACTTATCAAGGTTATCTTAAGTTAGATGGAACTTATGATTAGATGGAGCTTAAGAGTTGGATGAAACTTGATACATTTTTCAACAACTTAATCAAATGCATGGTAATAATTTTTTTTGTGGTCTTGATTGATTCCAAGTGACCATTTAAGAAAAAAGATAATTAAATCATATCTAATTTGATATCAAAGAAGAATTTTCTCTGAATATAGATGAATAATATAAGTTTTTATTACTTTTTATTTGTTCTTTTTATTTATAATATCGTTTCATGATAAAAAAATCGCTTTATATTTTTGATAAATTTCAAATCAAAGAGTTAATTTTAAGTTTTTATAAAAATTGAATTTTCTTATTACTATGGTAATTCTTTATATCATATATTAATTTTTTAAAATACTTGAACTCGATTAATTATTTTTCATAATGTCTACTACGGATAACCAAATTTTACTATGATGCTTAATAAAGTCTGCTTCTAAAACCTATGTTTTGCTCATGCTTTGTAACCATAATGCTTAAGTATTTTTCTTTTGATAATAACTTTCTTTGACTGCAACAAAATATAATAAAAATAATCTAGTACAAAAAAAAATCTTTTATAAGATATTAAAAATCTAAAATAATAATGATTTTGAAAACTATTTTCTTACCAGTGAATTTTGATGCGATTCGTAAAGGCGATCATATGAATCAATTAATAAATTTCACAAAGAATTTTGAGAAAATTGTATATAAATACTGCTTAAATACACAGATATATACTTACAAAACAGTAACAATAAGCGTAAAAATTCTGAGCACATGATTCTGAGCTAAAATCCTGAGCACTGAGCTCTGAGCATCTGATAAACAATAAAACTTGGTGTAATTAAATCTTAGCTCCTTTAAGTAGCCGCTTTTTTTGAAAAAAAATTTTACTCTAAATGATGCAATGAAGCAACTTCTTTATAAACAAAGTTTCCAAAAAAATTTTAATTAATTTTTATTTTTATTTACTTTTTGTGTTTTAATTACAATATCTTTTCTTTACAACCTCATATAAAAGATAACACCAACTGCAGCAATCTCAAAGGAGTCCCTATAATGTTCCAAATCTTAAGTAACTGCAAAAATATTCTATGCAAACAATGTTGCTTGTTTAAATCTAGGCTGAAACATCTGCGAAGCACATTTCCACAGACGTTACATTTTAAGATCATTTATTTTCAATCATTTTCCAGAGTGTATTTAGTAAATATACATTAGAATTTTAATTATTCAGTGCTGAGGTATAGATAAAAAATATAACATGTTAAGAAAGAAGTCAGAACTATTTTACTCTGTTTGATTTTTATGCATAATATTAATTTAATTTATTTTTCAGTTAAATTATGCTAAATTGTCTTTTATTTTCTCAAATTTACTACAAAGTGTTACAGTCAGGTTTACATAAAATTCTTCACGGATTATCAGCAAAAGCTTTCTAAACTCATAAACTGAGTTAAAGCACTGAGTAAAAAAATGTGGCCAAAACAACCATAATATGGCAACATTTACAGTGATTTTGGCTCTATGGGAATACCAAACTGCTGCATAGTTTTTACAGAAGTTGTTTTGCAATGATTTCGTTAAATTCAACAATGAAATATGGTTTTATAATAAGTGATAAAATTTTGTAAATATGATAAATTTAAGTAATTTGATAATGGAATGGAAATGGGGTGGATCTTTGGAATGGAATGGAATGGATAATGGAATGAAATGGTAAGGAAATGGCATAAAAACCATTTTCTGTTTAGTAATTTTCCTTAAATGTGTAGTATTTGGAACTATAATTCTGAGAATAAGAATTTCTGGTGACTCTCTACCATATGTGCAGAAAAATTATGAAATGGATAGTTTAAATACTATATATTCTGGGTTTAATTAACCAGAATTATAGGGTTTCTTACGAGATATGTCACTACCATACAATAGGGTAATTGTAACGAAATTTATTTCTCCGTGAAACTTTACCCTCATACAAAAAAAAACGTTACAGCGCAGCATTTTTTTTTTATTTGTACAAAACAATCCAAACATCAGTTTTGAAGATAGATAAGTTTGAGAAAATTTTAACGCACCTTACTTCCTTCGAAAGAATGAGTTATTTAAAATTTTTATATTTTTTCAAAGCATAGAAAGTTGCATATTGATAGTATTAAGTAAAATTACTCGTACTCTCTTAAAATGAAAGAGTTATTTCCCCTACTCAAAAAAGAGTTAAATTTTTTTAACTCAACTTGAGTGAAACACATTCTTATTTGAGCGAAATTCTTACCTTGAGTTTATTCAAACTTGAGTGGTATTTATTAAGCAATATTTGAGTGCTCTTAGCTCAAACTTGAGTGATTTATTTAATATTTAATTGCGTGCGATATATAAGCTGGAATTTCTATCGCTTTATTTTAAAAAGCAAACAATAATAAATCTAAATAAAATTGTTATGTTCTGTGATCTAAATAGATTATGTCTTCGTTTTTATTTTACGTTAAAAAAAATTTTCTGGAGAATATGTCATTTAATATTTTGAATTAAGAAGAATTAAAACAACTTTTAGTTCACAGCGGTATTTCTGAAGAAGACGCTGTTTTACTTTTCAGTAAGTAGATATACTTTGTTGTTTTTATTTTGAAAATACTTTTATTTTGAATGTGTTATATACACATTCCATTTAAATTAGCTGTTTTTCAGCGTTTTTTAATAAAATATACTATTCTTTTAAATTATTTGTCAAAAAAATTTATTAAAATTGAAAGTGTTAAATGTGGATGATTATGAAATATTAAAAAAATTTGATTCCCTGCTAGAATCTTTGTCAAAGCATGTGGGAATATATTATATCTGATAAGAGTTTTAGAATTTTTTCAGATTTCATATTAAAGTTTTAACATTTTATTTTAATATAATAAATTTATATCCATGTTTTAGTTTTTTTGATGTATAATTTTGATACAAAACATTTCTGGATAATTAATTTCATATCATTCTATACTTCTTTTATAAAAGATATTTACGAAATTATTGTTCATACAGTCTATAATTGCTGTTATTTAAATTGCTTTCTATTAATAAAGTTGACTGTCTTTAATTTATGAAAGTTCACATCTGCAACATCCATTCATTCAAATCAGAATCTTCAGATGTTCAATGTATTTTATTATAAATATATCATTCAAAGAAAAAGTGGAAAATATTATATTTAAAAAAATTAAGCAGCATTTTGAATTTTTCTGTTTTTATCCTGTTTTTAGCTTTTATTTAATTGGAATTCAGAATTAATACTATCTTCTTATTTCATAAAGTATTTATCACATTATACAAACTATTTTTCCTTTGTTGCTAGCATAAAAGTTCTTACCACTTTTCTTCAAATTCAATTTTCGAGGCAAAATTGAAAATGCAGAATTAATATTTAATTAAAAGTACAATGCTAATTAAAGTATTTGAAAATGCAAATAAATTAGAATTTTACAATAGTTATAGATTAATAGTAAAAAAATAGGAGCAAAATTAAAAGTAATATTTATTATGAGATATAGTTCAATTTGAATTTATATACCTATATCCCAGCTGAAAATAAACTGTAGTTATTCTACAGAACTGAAGTAATTTCGTAGTTTTTCTAGAGTTAACTGCAAATTTTCTGTAGTGCAATCTTAACTGTAAAAACACTGCAGTTATTTTGCAGCTAATGCGAAGTAATTTCTCAGTAATTTATTTCGAAAAAATTTTAGCTATTGTCTACAAAATTACTGTAGTTTAAGTGAGGTCACTTGAAAATCATAAATTTAGAAAAAACTGAAACTTTAAATCCGTGGTCATTCTGCAGTAAATTTGAAGTAATTATGCAGTCATTGTTTCAGAAGTATACTTTCTGATGAATCTGCAGAAAAACTGCAGTTACTTTGCATTGTTGTAAAATTGAAAGAGTTTGATGTCTTCAATCTTGCTTTCCTGGCTGGTATATTAAATTTTTATAATGTTTTTTCTTTTTGATTATATATTAATTTCTTACAATTAGGTAAAAATTCTAAACATATATATTGATAACGGAAATAACGTACACTATCTATATTCATAATAGTTAAAATTCATAAAATACATACTTGATTTAATTGTAATTATTTATAATTCAGAAGCGATACAATTTAATTAGTTTAAAATATGCCTAAAATTAGGTATTTAAATATTTCTGTATTTTAGTAATTTTATTAAAAATGTCGTTTTCATTAATTTTTATTATTTATTTCTTTTTGACTTAAGAAAACTATGTTTGAGCAAAGTTTATGGTAAAAACAATATTAAAGTAAAGTCAAGTAGTTAATGTTAATTAGTTAATTTTTTTATTCGAATTCATACTAAGCTAGGATTATTGCAGAACAAAAATTATACTTATTTTTTTCTAATCAAAACAAATATATAGTTTGGATTTTAAACAAATTTATATCAAAAGAGTTTGCAAAATTGAGTTTGAAAAAGGGTATTTAATCCAGATTTTTTAGCTTTTAACGTCCTCTTCAAAAATTTATTAATTTCACTTAGTTTCAGAAATTTGTCTTAAAAAAATTTAGGCAATTTAAAACAATATACCTTTTTTATTGCTTGAAAATAAAGCTTTATAAATTAAACGAATAAATTTGTTCGAAAAAAAATGACTCATAGTATTTTCAATTGAACCTAAATGAGCATAATATTTATAAAACTGCTTACTTTAAAAATTCGTTTAGAGCTCCTTACTTTTAAAAATTAAACTTCAAAGAAAAATGACGTAACTTAGGGGAAAGAAAAAAAAACTCAAATCTACAGTGGTTAGGAATTTTTCATAAAAAAAACCTCTTAAGTAATAATTCATTTAATTGTTGTTTTACCGTATACAATCAAAATAATTGGATAACCACAAAATGCTGCTATTCAAACTGTTAACTCTGAAAAATTTTTTTAACTGTGTTTTCACCTTATTTGATTTAACAAATAAAAACTTTATCCTCGCCAACAAGACCCAGCTCATGAAACTAATTAGTTCTTTGTAGCCGTCTTGTCACAGGACTGCAGCCGAGATGGTTAATCGGTCAATCTCACGACAGACGGGAAGCCAGTTCGAATCCCAGCCAGTGTCGATATGCTCACAGCGAAAACTTTCACAAGTACTATATTATCTAATTCGATATTTAAATTCAACAAACGTTAAGATAAAAAAAATTCCTATCTAAGGCTTTCTCTATCAAAAGGAATTTTTTTGAAACGAAAACTATAGTATTTTTTATCGCTTACGATAGATGGCACCACTAAATACAAAAATTTCGAATATTAACAGTAAAAATTTTGACTGCAATTTACAAACTGAAATACTGAAAATCGCTCAAACACGAGTTAAAATCACTCAAGTTTGAGTGAAAACGATTCACTCAGGTAATACTGAAAATCACTCAAACTCGAGTGAAAATAACTCAAGTTTGAGTGAAATTTTTTTCACTCAAATTGAGCTATTTCCATATAACTCTTTCACTTGAGTGATTTTAACTCAAGATGAGAAGGCCGGTTTTTTCTAGATGAAAGAGTTAAATAGCACTCAAGTTGAGTTATTTTCACTCGTTCATTTTAAGAGAGTAAGCAAATATACAAAATTAAGTGATTTTGTCTGCTTGTTTTATTGAGTACATTTGCAATTGTAAAATACAAAATAAATAGCTATATATACAGTTACTCGTACAAATTAGAGAACTGTTTACAAACATATGTTATTTATTTAAGATCAACATATACATAATTCTCTATTATTACAAGATATAAAATTTATAAAACTAGTATCTTTACATAAAGGTACTAAAAAAAAACCTGAATGAGAAGCAAGTCTTTAAAATGAGGTAGTGACTTTGTCTATTTATCAGTGCCGCCCACATAAAATAGCAGTTAAAATAATGCTTTAGATAAATATATATACAAGACTAGATAAAAATAGTCTTATCTTTGAATACATATGTAACTAAGACAGTTAACATTGTTTTTACTACAAGTTAGTTATTAAAGATTAAATAGTTAACCAAGAATTTTGCTACTTTGTTTTATGCAAAGCGTTTTAAGTTACACTTTCAGTGTAATTTAATTTATCTTAATATATCATCTCTTCTACAAATGCCTCGGCATTGCACAAAACACAAATTTGTAAATTAAGGTAATTAGTCCTTCGACCTTGTTCAACACAAAACAGATAAAGTAGTTGTTTACTGGTATGTTTTATGAAAGCTTCATATATAAAATAATAGTTCAAATGATGGTTTGAATAAATATATAGACAAGACAAGATCTAACTAGTCTTATCTTTAAAAATACATAGAACTAAAGATAGCTAGCATTGTTTTTGCGCACACGAATCCCTATTTTAAAAGCAATAAAACAAAGAATTTTTCAATTTTGTTTTATGCCAAACGTTTTAAGATAAGATGGAGTTATATTCAAAGGATTGCACAGAACACAAATTTAAAAATCAGGTAATTATTTCTTTGACCAAGTTTACACAAAACACTTAGAGTAGTTGTTTGCAATGTAGTTAGCCTTGAATATGGTTATTTATGTAGTTCAAAGTAAAAGCAATAACTTAAAATGATGCATTTAACTCTAAGTTCTTATGCAAAACATTTCAGATAGTATTTAACATAAGAGTAAAACATAATACTACTTTTATATTGCTTGTTTTTGAGAAAAAAATTATCAATTTACTAAATACATAACTACAGATAGAATTTGTCTTTTCTTATTGTTAAACAAATTTATGCCTAAAGTACATTTATTCAACAGTTCTGAAAATGCACCATAGACTTATAGAAAACCTTTTTGGACAAAAATAATTAATTTAGGTATGCTTTTCTTATATATTTTTTTCAATTAAGTATTCTGATAACATTGTAGCCTCTTTTGTTTGAAATTACAAATTACAATAAATAGTTTTTTGAAATGTTATGAGAAAATAGTTTCAAATTAAATGTCATATATTTTAATAATTAATTAATTTCTGTCTTAAAAACATTATTATTATTGAAATCTTAGATATGTTTGGATTGTGAAAAACATTTTTGCACTTAGCATTGTATTTTAAAATATTAAAAGCATTTTCCTTTGCATATGAAACAAAAACTATTTGCGCAGGATTTTTCAATATTATCCTATTTGCTGATTCCATAACATAAAATATGCAAAATACTATTACAAACTCATTACTGGGAGAAGGTTGATTACAAACTGAATGTTCTAATTGTGATAGATATCCTTCTCTTTTCATTATACAAAACATTTAAATCTTCAGTTTATACTTTTAACTGAAGTTATTAATGCAGAATTGCTTAAAAATGAATGTATGATGCATGACATAAGATATTTAACAGTTTAATTCAATTTATACAAATTCACAAGATAAGTAGTTTTGACTGGTGTTACTTATTCAAAACTGCATTAATTCAGAATAGCATTTTAATTTTTAAACAAAATAACCTAATATGGAAGACTTTTAAAAACTAAATAATGCAAAATAAGTAGTTTTGACTGGTGGTACTTATTCAGAACTGCATAGCATTTGATGTTTAATCAATACTTATACTTAATTGAGCGATGATATAAAAGACAGGTTTACAAAACATAAGAAATGTTTTCGTATATTATTGGCTTCGCAATAACGTTAACAAGAGGATATTTAAATTATGTCTTATATTTTTATATACTACTTAAAAATGATTAATTTAAATTATTAATTTGCGCAAAACAAAGTTACATTTTTAATTACTTACATCAAACAAATAAATTATATTTAGATCCATTTCAACATAAAACAAATTGAATTTTTTAAAATTTGTGAAAAATGCATATTAACTAGATTTACAAGTAATAAATGATTGCTGCAGGTTAGGTAACTGCTATTAACTAAATAATAATACAATAGTTCTTAAAAGAAAACTGATACTAAAAGCGGAATAATTGGCACTTAAGTATACTATATAAAAAAACTGTAATATAATAACTTTAACGGCAATTTTTTTATTCTACTGTAATCAGTATTTTTTAATATTCTTAATACCTTTTTTTAGTATTCTATTCTAAATGAAATTCGTTAATTAGTATTCGATTAATGTTAAACTTTAGATTCCTTCTCAATAACAGTATTTTTTCAACATTCCAGCCAAAATATATAAACTTTAAAAGGAAATCAAAGTTATTCATAAATATTTCCTATCTTGTGCCAAAAATATCACTCAAATGATCATAAAAATTGCCTTTAAAATATAAATATTGAATATAATTAAGCTTTCGTCCTTTTCAAAGCACCTGAAAAATTACCTCAAATTCAATTGGCAAGATGACCTCGTTCTTTTGCCTCTATGAAGATATCTGACTATCGTTTGAACTTATTTTGAGCCAAATTCTCAGTATATAAATAAAAGTTTAAATTTGTTGAAAAACACACAATCAAAATATAGTAATAACGTTTTTACATCCTGATAATGTATTAATAATATTTTATTTCTAATAAGAACGTCTAATTTAGAATAAAAAATATTTCTGTGCTAGTGGCAACACTTCTGATGGTTCGCAAGTCAAATGCGTCCATGTTTCTTTACCGTCAACCATCTCAGCTGCATACACTTTATAAGTTTCTGGATCAACTGAAATTTCAAATAATATCTATATTATAATAAACCCTAAAAAAGTCAATTCTATGGTAAATTAAATCACTTATTTAAATTTTAGGATCGTTATTTTGATTAAATATTAGACCAACTAATTTGTAATAAGTTATAAAAATTTTGATTCTTGACTTTAAGTTACATAAAGAACTTCGACAATTGAGGAATATTTACAAGAGACTGAAATAAATGGCTTTGGAGTGGCAACAGTACCACAATATTTTCTAGTCAAAGCACACTATTTTAGAAAATAAACTTAATTCTTTAAAGAATCTGATGATGTAACTAATAAATTAATACAAAATTTATATACGTATTATAATAATCATTATTCATAAATTTAAAACTGCGTTTCATAAAATAAAAAACATACATAGTTGCACGAAGTATACACCTCTACTATTGTTATTAATAATACTTTTAAAAAAATTCCATCGGGGTGTGCAGTATATTTTAATCTGACGGATAAATACAAAAATAATTTAAAAGTTATCTTTTTTGCTTGGTTTTTTTAAATTATTTCAATAGCAAAACAGGAACAAATAAAATTTTTAAAAAACCTATCTGCTTCGCTTTTCTTATTTCGGTAATCAAATATGTTTTGATATTTTCTTCAGTCAAACATTTCTCAGTTAATGTTTATCTTGCATTCTGACTTAATGCACTGAAAAATTATATGGTCAAGACTACCAGAATGTGGTAAAATTTGGTGTTTCTACCTCTATAGGGACATTAAAAAGCTCGGTAAATTTTACTGAAGAGCTTTGATAATAATTTTAAGAAAAATAAATATATGAAGTAATAAAATATGGTTTTATAATACATAATAAAAAGTTGGTAAATATGGTGAAATTTAGTAATTTTTATGGAACCTGAGAGCTTGTCAAAAAATATTTGATTTAAAAAATTTACATTGCAATTTTATATTTTTTTACTAAATGTGCGGTTATATGAACTATAAATTTGAAAAAGAGAATTTCCGGTAACCGGTACCTTGGTAATAGAAAAATTACAATGGTTAAAATGCCGTATACTTTATTTCCAAAATAATGATTATTTATTACCAGATTTTAAACAGAATTCAATTCTCCATGAGTGTATCTTACGCTAGCGTTATTGACTTATCTAACTCAAACAATAATTTTCAATACCAAACAAGGACTCTAAAATATAAATATTAAAGACGGTCCTAACACAAGAAGAAAAAAAGTTTGAAAAATACTCTTAATGACATTTGCTTAAAAAAATTATTATGATAATAAAACCAAAATACGCTGTAATTTACCGGAAATTTTGATTTTCAAAATAATAGTTCTTTTTATCACACATTAAGTAAAAGATACAAAACTGAAAAATAAATTTAACGGCATAAATAGTCTTTATGCCGTGCTCTTTAGGTATCATAAGAAAATTACTAAATTTTAATCAAATTTATTACATCAATATAGCAATAAAATATGGTTTCAAAACCATATTTTATTGCTAATTTTACTGAAATTATTACAAAAGGTCTTCGATAAAAATTACCGAGCTCTTTAGTAATCTAAAAGATCCAGAAAAATTTTAATTTTTTGCCCTATTCTGATAGTTTTGAAAATGCATTTTTCTTTGTGAAGAGCTTAAATATTAATTTTAGATCCCTAACTATTTGTTTCATACTATTAACAAGTATTCTAAAAATAAATAAAGACGATCCTTATGGAACTTCTTTTATCGTGCTTATGTAACATCCATGGAAAGCTACATTAGAAATTAAAACAAAAAACAATTCTAAGTCAAAGGGATGAGCAAAAGTTTGATACTTTTTTTTTTCCTTTCAAGTTTGAAAATTACAATTCTTTTACAATACACCCTTCTTCTAAATTTAAAAATATTAAAACAGCTCTTAAACTTAATTCTACTAAGCAAATAATAATTTTCTAATCATAATTTTGTATAAATCAAAATTTTTTAAAAAAAAGTTTGATACGTGATAGCGATTCAAAAAATGACTCTTTTCATCATTTTACATCTTTTTTAAAAACGCAAATATCAAATTCAGGTAATAAACAATAATCACAATTACGTTTGAGTCGTAAACTAAATTTAGGTAGAAATAACATGTTTGATAGTACTTATGTAATTATAAATTCAATATTATTAGCCTAAAGCTATTTATGTATGTAAGCATATTAAAATTACAAAAACAAATTTTTAAAATTTAAATAGCTCATACCTTTCAACTTTGGTAAAGCATCATTCAAAACCATATTTTTCTTTCCTATATTTCTGCACTTTTCAACAGCAATAACTCTTTTTCCTATGTTGTATTTTTGAACTATATTTTTATCCATAGACACCTGAAAGAAATAATTTATGTATACAAATACATATATATAGTACGTCTCAAAATTCCGTCATAAAATTTCAATTGCAGAGCAAAAAATTGAAAGGTAAAATAAATAAATTCTGAGAGCAATTTTTATTGAAAGTGCAGTTTAGCTAATATAATTATTCAATACATCGAATAACTTAAACAAACTTCACCATTTGTTTCATATATACAAAATTAGCATTTAGTGAATTACAAAAGCACCGTTTTTAATATCTTCCATAAAAATATAGATCAAATAACCATAGCATTTTAATTTTAAAACAAAGTAACTAATATGGAAGACTTTTAAAAACTAAAGAATGTAACATCTTTAAAATTAAATAGTTCAGTGGAAAATGAAGGCGAAATTTAAAAAACAAAATTTTTAACCAAGCTTAATTTGTAAATCAATTTTTTTTTAAATCCATTCACTGAGTAGAAAAATAAATTCTCAATAATAGTGATACATTTTAACTAAAATCACCATTATTCGCATATTACTATCATGGCAATATTAATTTTTACTAAATAATCTTTTGATATAGAGCTATAATATATACTAAAATTTCACCTATAATGTCTAACACCGCAATATGATACATGTAATATATATATGTGTGTGTGTGTGTGTGTGCGTGATGCCACAATTGGCATAACATATTTATTTCCTATCTTTTAAAATATTCTTCATTACTTAAGTTTATTTTTATTAATAGAAGAATTATATTTAAAATAAATCAAAGACTTAATCTTTTAAAACGAACATAAAATATTTATTTCTTCTCTTCTAGATCAATGTAACGGATACTTTTTATTTCATTACTAGGCAGACTTATTAATTCACTGTCGCCTCTAATCGAAAACAAAAATCTATTTATAACTTTTTATTCTAAATTTCCAACCGCTAAATGTTTCAGTTGCATGGTTGTAATAATTCTCATAAATTTGTTGGCGACTCGTGATCGCCAAGGTGTTCTTTTAAACCCATATTGATATGCTGGTTGGCTTTGTTTTGGCTATGATATATTATGATAAATTGCCAATTATGGATCTCCTACCCACACTTTCTACGTGCGTTGGGAATAATTATATGGACTTGGAATTCAAAATTTGTGGGGACCAGGAGTCCCCTTTGGGGCATTCCTGTCCCAGTCATCCTAACGGTTTAAAAAAAATCTATGCAATCATAACGAAATGCTAACAAAAACTTTTATATGTGGAGGTTATATTTCCTTGATCCCTTCAAGGGATTTATTTTTGATAATTGGTAATTATTATGATGATTTGTATTGATGGCCATTCTCTATAATCTTCAAGAAATATTGCTTAATAAATTGGATTTTCATATTCACGATTCATATTCATTTTCTGGAGACTTTCATTTTGTTTCATCCATTTACTTTTATTAACGGCCAATACGAACAATAATGAATTAAAATGAATTTCATTCACCTTCATTATTAAAGTATAAAAAATCAACAATGTGCTTCCACATTTATTTACTCGTTATTCGTGTGTACTATATGGCAGGACTATTGTGTATATTCGCTCTTTTCATTTACATTCATCACTTTTAACTTAGATTAGATTACATTTTTGGATTTTTATTTCGTACGTAATTGTCTTTTAATTGTTTTAATTTAATTTCTAAATATATAAATAATTTTCCCAAAACATTTACAAAAAGATCCAAGGAATATAGGAACAGGATAAAGTTAGATCCATTTTTGTATACAGCACAGAAGGAAAAAGAAAGATGACATTTTTAAACCAGTTACTTCAAAATAAGAATAAGCTTTATGAACAAAAAAAAACGTAGTACAGAGTAAAAATACAGGCACTCAGAGTGCTAAATCTTTTTACTGTAAAATTCTACTTAACAAAAAATCTCATAAACCGCAATATTTACAGTAATATTTACTGCAAAATCACTGATTCACAGTAACTAAATAAATATTACTGTAAAGATAGCGGTATAAAACTTCGCGATAAAAATGGCTTTTACAGTTGCTGCATTAAGGGAGTAAGTATTTTTTATACAAGTTTAAACAGTGAATTTTTACAGTGTACCCTCTTTCTTTAAATAAAAGAATTGACTTATTCTAACAGCGCAAAATTCACATTGATGATAATCATGTACACTATTGAAAATGAAAGTTTAAAAAAGTCTTAAATGTAATAAAGTTCTAACATTACAATGACATTAAAAGCTAATAAATACTGAATTATTTGTAATTTTACTTGAATATTATAAAATGCAGATCTTTTAACTGGTAAAAAAAATTCATAATGAAATATAAATTACGTGACCAATGCAACTGCAATGAATCACTTAAAAATAAAGTGTTAGTAGTATATACCGCATACCTTAGAAACAAATACGCATGAATTTCTTCTAGTAGCAGTTCCACAGGCTCCATACATTTTTCTTTGCATTACGGGCTCAACTGTTGGTATGGAACCATTTGGCATTCCTAATAAGATACAAAATGAAAAAAAAATTGAATTTTAAGTTAATATCATTTTATAGAGCTCAGGTAGTTATCAGATTCAGTAAATACGACATCTTCAATTAATAACACTAGGTTTATAACATTTAAAACTTGGTCGCAATTTAAAAATGTGCTTCAAATATTTGTTTAAAATTTGGTATACTGATAAGGGCAATTTTTTATGGGAGAAAAGATATTAATTAAGTTTATTGTCTTTTTGTGACCTTTTTTATGTGCTGTGCACACAAAGAAAAAACGGACCACCTTAAATTACTTTTGATCAAATGACAGGATCTTCACATTCTTAGATCCAATCTTAATGCTTTGCAAGGGTGACTTCAATCATGCTTATTAGTTAGTGCAGACGATTTAAGTTACGAAATCAAACGCAAAATTGTGCTTTCTCTGAATAAACAGAACTTTTTTTCGATGGATTTGAATTCGAATAGTTATTGAGAAATCGAATTTTAAAGTATAACGTTTTTAAAATTTGATTTCGCAGAAACTATTCGACCGATTTCGATCAAAGTTTTTATTTTACCCTGACGTTGCGTTTTTTTAAAATTATGTGTATAAATTGTACACTTTACAATTTGAAATTATTTAGACAGTTATTAAATAAATTAATATAAAATAATATATATATTCACTTAAAGTTATCTTGGGTCTGTAATTATCTCTGGAAAAATGAATTTTATAATCGTCTGTAAAAAGTTTTCAATTAGCTTGAAAAATTCTTGAAATATAGAGAAATACGCGAAACGTAAAAATAACATTAATGGGTCAAAACTTCGGGCCACCCTCCTGAACATATTGGGACTATATTTATATATTGAGACCCATTTTCGGGATTTCTTATTGAGACCACATTTTCCCGGTTGCAGCTACTCCCTATATTTTGGTGGTCAAAAGTCCAAGTCTGAAAAAAAGTTATGTTTATTCAAAGAAATCACACTGTTAGAATTTTCATTCTAAAATTACGGTAAAATAAGCAGCAGTAGTCTATCCATTCGATTAATTACGGTTTAGGAGATTTCTTTAACTTTACAGTTAAGCCGTTTAGAACTGATACTGTCAAAAAAAAACTGTGATTACAAAACTATACGGTTTTGTACTTGCAACTAGTATATTTTAGAACAATAAAAATAAGACTTAAACGAACACTGGATCTCAGTGGATGCTGCGTCATTTATGTGTGAGTGACAGTTTCGTATTCTAATAGTCTGGGGTTGAAGAGTGCAGGATACTAGAAACTTTTCCTGTATTGAAGGAATGGGAGAAAGATTGTGGAATCAACTCTGGGATTCGAACCAAATGAGAATGACAAATTAGCCCTCTCAACTTCATTATGTACCCAGCTGCCCGGAACAAATGGCTGCCTTAGGTGAATAGAATTCTTTTTCTTAAATCGTATTAGGAGAAATGATCAATAAACGTTTTTCGTCATACTTAACAGTTTAAATATAATTTTTTTATGATTATTCCACTGTTTTGGCTGTGTATGAAAAAATAACAATTAAAAAAATTGATGTTTAACTATTTGTTCAGAGAAATTTCTAACAGTGTACGTTTTTGCCGACTGATTTCGTAACTTAAAAAATCGTTTGTACTAACTAATTAGGATATATGAGGTCACCCTTTCGAACAATTGATATTGAGTCCTAGAACGTTACTCTGGGTGGAGAACGTTATTCTTCTCGTTGTACAGCCTCAAATAAAAGAATTGGTTAAATTGTAGTAATGAACAAAGCTAATTGAGTATTTTAATAACGATGAAAACCATACTTACTGCCATGTTCATAGGATAGCCGTAATAAATATGAATTTTAAAGTCATTTTTACTTTTGAATCGAAATAAATAGACAAAACACTTTTTTACCATTATTCCTGATGGAGTTGAGATACTAGTATCGTAATATGTAGCAACTCTTGTTACTACATATTCCGATAATTGTATTTTTTCACCATACTTCAAATATTTCACCATACTTTAAAATTTTTTTAGTTTATAAATTGCATATCTCAGGCGATCTCTGAGAACATAATTTGAAATAAAGCTACTGACTTTCATTTAGTGCGAACTCTGTTATCAACAAGATTAATTTTTATATGTATTACTCTATCTACATGCGTTATATACACATATAACAATTTCTTTCATAAATAGTATTATACAAACCCATATCAGTCCAAGCAATGTCCCCGCCTTTAATAATCATATCAGGTTTTGCCCCGAAAAATGCTGGATTCCATAAGACGAGATCAGCCATTTTTCCAACCTAGAAGTAAGAGCACTCATTTTGTCAAAAGCTTTTGAAGTTATTTAATTTAATTGCGTCAAGATAAATATTTTACTTTTTATGTCTCGAATAACAATTATAGACTAAATGAATAACTATTTACAACTATATTGTAAAACACTTGCGTTTGAAAAATTCTAAATACTTTGAAAGCGCTATGAACTTTAAAGGAGAACTATATAGATGTTATTTAGTTAGGATTATAGTGTTGCACTCAATATAATATAAAAAAAATCTTAACAACCTGTTTGACGTAATTATTTTGCTACAATGCGAATAAAACCTTTTAGTATCTCTAAGTGGTTTTTATAGCTAATTTTTATTTTGAGAGAACCAATACATAGTTTTGAAAATTAAATCCAGCAAACAAATAGGGCGTTATTAATTTTGTTTAAAACGGTATATGTTTATCAATTTGTGATTTTATAATACATCTTAAAGAAATGGATAAAAGATCATTTAATTTTAAGCGAACACTTCATTGATATCATCCTCATCTTAGTTGGCCAGACAGCCCAATGTGGGTCAATGCCTTCCACTGAAGATTTCTCCATAATGACTTCCAATTTTACTTTGATCTTCAATTCTTTTCCTTAATTGCAAGAAAATCAAACTCCACTGAGTCAGCTCATCTAAACCAAGGCCTTTCCCATTTTCTTGTTCCAGTGGATCTAGAAAGCAGTATCTTTTTTGTTGTATTGTCATCACTCATTCGAATCACGTGGGTCATCCAATCCATTCCATTTATTTTTATGTATTTAATAATATCTGGTTATTTATAAATCTTGTACAGTTCAAAGTTAAAACTCCTACTCCAGATATTGTTTTCATTTACACCACCAAGCATACTCCCCAAAATCTTGCTCTCAATTAATGCGATACACTTTTCCTCCAGTTTTGTCATTGTCCACGCTTCAGAAGCGTATGTCAAGACTGGCCTGACTAGAGCTTTGTAGATTAAGAACTTTGTTTTTCTAGAAAGAAACCTAGACTTAATAAATCTTCCCAGCCTATTGACAGCCCTTATTTGCCAGATAGATGGAGTCGGTTTTTTATTTCAGGAATCATTCTGCTGTCAATAGTAATAATTGATCCTAAGTAAGTAAAACTCCTAACTGTTGCAAATCTATAATCTATTGTCATATCACGATAGGGGTCTGGGACTCCGTTTCTTGAGAATATTTTGTTTTCTCTGCATTTATGACTAAGCTCATTTGTCTCGCAGCCACCTCAGCTTTATTGATATACAGAATGGTAAATAATGAGTAATTCTACGATAAAACAGCTTATTGAATAGATTATATATTTCACTATTATCTAAGCAAGAGACTGGTGCAAGCATTCTAAACAAATATGTTTGATAGTATTTACTTATTTAGTCTTTAATATTGTTGTTATCTACCTACATATTTCTCTTACGTGACCTTATAAACTCTTGTATTTCTCTACCTATTGACAACAATATAGTTATTAATCATTTTCTGAGTTTGTCTTACGTAATAACTCAAGTACGGATGAATATTTAGTTGCATGTTAAGTATTTATTTAAGATAATTTTTAAATATTTATAGAAGAAAAAACGCAGTTTTTTTTTACCCTTTCCAAAATGGTTGTAGCAATTTTAAGCATAAATGGTGTCGCATGCTGTCAGACCAATTATTGGAGACGGAGCTTGATTTCTCGTGCAGTAGTATACATGTATTTTACGATACTCAAGTTATGGCTCGAGAGGTACGAGAGGAAGTAGTACAGCCCGTAAGTGAGCTTTAGAATGAATTCCCTATCTTATCTCATGGCAGAGGTGAAAACAAAAATATTTCTACCACTTATATGTTGAAATGTCCAGAACCAAGGGCGCTGGCAGCGGGGTGCAAGGGGGTTCACTTGCACCCCCCGGCTCTTTTTTTGAAAACAATTAAAGAGATACAGAAAAATTTTGTTATAATTTTTTTTTATTAAACATGTTTTTATGGAAAAACAAATAATTAAGTAATTATTGATACATAACAATTAAAAAATTGTTCAATCAAACAAGAATTGTAATCGTCTTGTTTGCTGTCCAAATCTGTTTTTAACTTTTTCAATGAATTCTGAGTCATCTTTGATTCCTTTCTTATGCACACTGATCATTCCCAAACTTGGCAGATATCTAAGCTATATTTTCAAATTTCATTTAATAAAATGTAAATAATATTATATTTCCTATTAGTTATTCAGTTTAACAAAGGTGTATAACACAAGCTGACTTCTCGCAACTGTAAAACTTCATCAACACAATAAATAATGTTAAGCGTGCACAAACAAGTTAGTATACAAAACTACTGTTTGTAGTTATTTGTGTTTAAAAGTCAGTAGCTATGCCAGCGCGATCGCCTCTGGGCAAAATTTGCAAGTACAAGAAATTCGTGCTTTTTTTTAAATATCTTACTAACAATGAAGAAATGTATCTTGAAAAAATGAACAGATGAAAGTATATGTAATAACAAAACAAAATGTAATAGCAGAATATTTGAATTTTTTTTCGGGGGGAGAGGAGGGTAGTTTGTTAGAGGGTTGCACCCCCTTTTATATTATTCTGCCGGTGCCCTTGTCCAGAACTCATACTTACGTCAGTTTGTTTATTTGAAAGACTGCTGTATAGATATTAAGTTATTGCTAAAATTGAAAGCAAAAATAACTTCGAAAATATAGAGAACATTCTCATGTAAGGAATTAAAAATTAAAATACAAGTACTTCCGGGCATTTACCAGCTAGATTGCTAAAATATTGGGTTAATGTATTGCTTAAAACTAATTATGATGTTAGAATTGGAAGAGAGGTCGATAAGATTATAATATTTAAGTACCATTGTGCTGTACATTCGGATTGACTACCCTTTAAATGTATATGTTTTACAAGATAATTTTGAGAGGTAACCAAGCTGGTCACCCAAAGAGCACTTTATAAAGTATTAGTACACATTATAAAATTTTGTTCATGCTGAACCATTATATGGTTTAACTTTTCTTCAACCATAATAAGGCATCAGAATGAACCGTATTGCAATATGAACCTATCTCCAACTTGATAACACGTTATTAAGATTCAGCTAGACACGGATTAGCTATTCAAAGCTTCAGCAAATTGCATGGAATTATGGGTCAAGTTTGAATCAAGCTTTCAAAACATTTATAATTGCCTATTTCCGATAAGATTTTAAGAGAAATGTTTAATCCATGCACTGATAACATTAATAAAATTATTCTATAGTTTGCCTTTGGTATCATGGAAGATTCTTAGGAAGACCAATAACATTTATTCATCCATGTAAACATATAGATTGCATTCATTTTTAATGGGATATTCCACTTTCGCTCAAGACAAGAGCCATTTTTACAAAAAGAGAGAATCTCTTATTGAAAAATCTTGTTTATACAAGGATTTTTAATGAGTAATTTGCGAATAAACTTACTTCAACCGACCCAGTAACGTGCGAGAATCCTTGTGCTATGGCTGGATTTATTGTATATTTAGCTATATATCTTTTCACTCTGAAATTATCGTTTTCGCTAGAATCTTCTGGTAGAGGACCTCTTATATTCTTCATTTTATCAGCTGTTTGCCATGTTCGACAAACTACCTCAGCAACTCTACCCACAGCCTGAAATGAATTAAAATTATTTTTAGACAAATTTAGATAATTCACGGTTTAAACATCAGTCACGAAATAACCTGGCGTTGGGTCCATGTCCGACAGATCGTGAGTACCGCAGAATCGAAAACTCCGCGAGTGTAAAATAGTGACTGGTGCAAGCTAAATTCGCCGGTGTCACAAAGTCCTTCAAGTTCTCATAACAAATCAATATCTCTAGGGGTACTGGATTAGAGACTGATCACTCGCTGGTTGAGATCGAAATTACGAACAGCGGATAAATGAACGGAGTGTGAATGAATGCTTCTTGTAAAACGTACTATGGCGTAAAAGTGGATCAAAAGTAGAATTCTTGACTATAAACGGCGCCACTGGAAAACAAGAAAAAATTTATAGTTTTTAATGCTTTTCAAAATATTTATTTTTAAATAAATAAAAAGTTTATTGGCAAGAGGTTTTTAATAATTGAACAGTTAACATCTCGATATGTAATATTGATGTACAAAAAATTTATTGAATATTTGGGAATTAATGAGTGAACTATTCATTTATTTCACGCATTATACTCAGAGAACTATTGATGACAATACTACATTTTTGTATCTATTCTAAGATGAAGTTAATAGAATACTAATAATGGTATAGAATATGAAGTATTGTATGGCATCATTGTAATCAGCAAAACCAATATGACGTCATGCATTGTAGTATTCTTGAGTACTACAATTCATTTGCGGGGGTCCTTTGAAACCCGTATAACAGAAAACAAAAATAATAGGAGAAACGAATATCTTTAAAAACTTGAAATTAATTATTATTATTATCGCTTTGAGAAAATCCTAGATTCTGAAAAAAATGCCTGGCAGTTTTTAAGCTGATTATATCATTAATTCATGCGAGTCTGTAATAATATGTTATAATAAGATTGCTATAAACAGTAATAAAAATATAAAGTTAGTAAAAAGGTATATAGATGATATTTAGTGGTTATATTAATGTTGAACTCTAAAATTACTGTAACCTTCGTATTACAATTAACGTTGATTATTATTTTTAAGATTTAAAAAAATAAGTTTACTAGATTTTATGCATTAGTCTTCGTTTGTCGTATGGCATTTAGTAGCTACTGCAATTCTCTTATACTTATTTTAACAGCCAAAGCATTAAACATATTTTATTTTTCTACACGGAGGAAAAAAGTATGGTCTAAACTACCAGAATATGGTAAAATTGACCATGTTTCTGACTCCGTGGAAACACCGTCAGAAATCTCGGTAATTTTTACCGAAGCGCTTTGGTAAAGATTTTAATAAAATTAACTGAAAAATAAAGGTTTTGAAATTAAATTTGATAAAATTTGATAAATGTGGTAAAATTTGGTATTATGATATCTCGGAGAATGGCATAAACTCCATTTATTCGGTACAATTCACTTTTCAGTTTTGTATATTTTATTAAATGTATAGTAATAGGAGCTATTATTTTGAAAACCAGAATTTCCGGAAGATCGTCACCATATGAAAGTAAATATTACCAAATGAAGGATTTCGATGCCATATATTTTAGTTTTTATTAGCAGAAAAATGGCTTTTTTTACCATAAATTTCATTACTATACAGTACGGAAATTTTACCAGAATTTCCTCGTTTATTCAGATATTTTAAATAGTAAACGCAGTTTCCTTCAGTTGGAAACTGTAATTTCAGCTGTATATAAATTTATTATGCATTTATTTTGCTTAAAAAGTTACAAATAATTTATTTTATTGGTATAATTTGTTTCAATGTATAATAAGCAAAATGTATAATACCTGTGAATCAGATGACATGATGCTTATAGCTCCTAAATCATGTAAAACATCCTCGGCTACCATTGTTTCAGCACGAATTCTTGACTGAGTGAATGCCAAATCTTCTTTAATATTTCTAGAAATTATTTTTGGCATAATATTTAGTTTTAATTTAAAAAACAGGTGGTTCGAAAACATTTACGATACTAGAAAACTGATGCTTCGTTATTAAAAAATAATTTTTTTAAAGAAATTTCAGAAAAATATATTAATTTCTCACAGCTTTTTCCCCAAAGTCTTATTTTTCCCCTTAGAAATTTAATATCCACACTCATTTTGAAAAAAAAATACTGTAATGTTTAATGAATTCTAGAGAAACTACAAAATTAAAAACCTAACTAGTTATAATCCAGATAAATTATCACTAGAAAGAGCTTTAAAAAATATAGCTAGTCAGTTACTGCCTGAAAGAAGCAGTAATTTATAAATCTGAAAAATTAGAATACGTCTGGTGTTATAATAGATTTTCTATGGTAGATAAAAAAATTAGCTTGTCCCAAAAGCTGAAAAAATAATGTGCTACAATTTTGAAATGAGAAAAGCCACGAGAAAAATTTGAGAAATTGTCTCGCAAGTGTCTGAAAAAAAGTGCATCATTATTTGTAATTGCACTTATTATTTCATAATTTTTTTAACAAAAAATTATAAAATATTTCTATTTTATTTTCTAATTTTACAAAAATAATCATAAAATAATGAGGGCAGTGTCCTTATTATTTCAATTTTTTTATATTTATTGCTCGCAAAAAATACGTAGATCGAAAAATATAGAAATAATAGGTGTTAAAATTAATTTAAAACTTTGTCTTCCGCAATTGCTGTGAAAAATAGATTTTGTAACTGATTAAAGCAAGAAATTTCGCTACCTGTTACCCATACAAAGTGAACTTTGCCATTCTGTTTGCTTATGGACTATGTTTTTACTGAATGGTATCTAAGAAAGTATGCTTGTAATAATTTTCATTTTCAATTTATTGCATGTAGTTACATATTGCGTTTAGCATGAATTTCACTTTCAAATTTTACCTATGATGAATTTCATTTGCAATGAATTATACTCAAAATAGATTTATATTATGTCATTTATCACTCCATCTAAGTAAATAATCACAAAACATGCAATTAGCACTCTTAACATTAGACATATAAAAATAAAATAAAACATATAGAATAAACATATTTAGTGACTTTTATAATCTCACAATTGAATCGTAATATCGTTACTATGAATAATAAATATTGTAAAAATTTTTTGCTACCTAACTAGGGTGTTAAATTGAACTGTGTTTCTGTTTAGGTTGAATTAGTATCATGTAATCAAAAATAAGGATTCTTAATTAGCACTATAATGCGTTTAAGATTGCACAATATTGAGATTTCCCCAAAATTAAATGGTATTATGAAATGAGAAAAACAATTTGGTCAAAAAAAACCAGAATACAGTTCAATTTACCGTGTTTTTGCCTCTATGGGAACCTCGGTAGTTTTTACCGAAGAGATTTGAGGATGGCTTCGGTAAAATTAATAATAAAATATAGTTTTATAATATGTGACAAATTTTAGTAAGTGTGGCATAAATTTGATAGTTTTAGCATAGTACCTAAGAACATGGCATAAAAACTATTTACTCGATTAAATTTTCTTTTCAATTTTGTATTGTTTACTAAATGTGTGGAAAGAAGAACTATAATTTTCAGTAAACCTTTACAATAAGTTTAATCACCAAACGAATAGTTTAAACATCTTATATTTTTGTTTTATTAACCAGAATTATAGATCTTTTTATCAGAAATGCCATTACCATGTATTACGGTAATTTAACCAGAATTTTTTCCTCATGTTTTCTTAATAAATTTTCAACTCTAATTTAAAAATATATCTGAATAAATTAATGTAAAAATCCAGAAATCTTCCATAACATTGTAAAAAATTCTAAAATTAAAATCATTTAACGCGTTCTATCAATGTGATTTTTGAATGACAACTCACTTGTCCAAATGGTGACAAACAAGAAGCATGTCGAGAGTTTCATCAATTGTGTTTATCGTAAAAGGTCTGCTCGGATTTGTGGATGAAGGAATTACATTTGGCTCACTGCAGACTCTAATAATGTCCGGTGCGTGACCACCTCCGGCACCTTCCGTATGATAGACATGAATTGTCCTGCCTCCAAAGGTTTCTATAGTTTCTTCAACGCAAGAAGACTCATTTAAGGTATCTCCATGGATCAGAATCTAATGAGCAAAGAATTTTTAACTTAGAAACATTTTCAGGTAAACGAAATTATAGTTTTTAATTGGGATCTTACAAGTGATTTAATAAATTTTTCATTATAAAAATCGTATTTAATTAAGAAGAATAAAATTTAATACCGCATTAAAATGTATTTTAAATATGTGTGGGTATGTTCGTGAATCAGAGCAGAAACAATTCTTAAGTTTTTATATTTGTCGTGTTGAAGTCCTAAGAAATAACTGAGGAAGTGATTTGAGAAATATAAACGTCAAACATTTATTGATAATATGAGGAGAGAAAAAAAATGGGAAAAAAAGAAAAATACAAAACTCCTGAATAAGTTTAGATCTAATGGTCGACTAATCATGTACTAAAATGAAATTTTAATATTTCTGGTATATAGACCTTAAATAAACTATTTAGTTAAAGTATATTTAATTTTAAGTTACGGAATCACATACAAAACGTACTTTCTCTGAATACTGAGGAAAAATATCTCGGCACCATATAATACCTTTTCTCTCAAAACATGGAGGACAGGCTATATTTGGAAAATATTGTCGCAACATATTAGTCAGGAAAGCGATGGGAAATCAAATTAGTCAACTGCTGTACCATGATGTAAATAACGGTTCTCGTCTGTTCACAAAAGTATGAAAGAATTAATTAAATAAAGAATTTCGTGTCTTTTCCTAGTAATGAATTAGCCTATTCTGTTATTCTCTTCAACACGAAAAATGATAAGAATAACAAAATTTTTCACTATTATTCTTTTATTCTTATTTAATTTGAAGTATTAAATTATGCATTAGAATTTTATATTCTCCTTATGCACATCTTAAAAATATAAAGGTTTTTTACAGCATAGTTTGTAATTAAAGATAAGATTAAGAATGTCACACAATGGCAAATTATTTATAATAAAATTAAATTTTTGCGAATTTACGATTTGCATTTTTTTTTTCTGTATACTCACTTCAAGGAATTATTGAGTACTGATGACCTCTCTCATTGAAAATTACATTATGAAGCTCTTACTTTTCCAAGTAACAAACGAGATTAAAGGCCTTATTGGATAAGTGGTCCATTTACACGTATTAAAAAATCGGATTCAGCTTCATTTTCATGTCGCCAGCATAAAAGAAAAAAAAACCTTACAAACTTCTGATCTAATAGTCAAATTTAAACAACTAAGATGTGATCTCATTGGTTCAAGGGTATATCTCATATATATACTAATTATTTTATGTATAATATTCTAATATACTAAATTATACTTAAATATACTTAACTAAACTTTAATAGTTAATACTTAATACTTTAATATACTTAAATATACTAATTAACTAATGTTGACAATATTTTAAATTACAAAATTTGGCATCAAAGCATACTTTTCATGAATAAAAATACCTGTTTTTCGGAGGATTTGAAATCTTGACTTTCAAAGTATGGGGGAAGGGTGGATGCGTTATCAAAATATGGTCCCACTAGCTAAACAGGAGAGCTGCCAAAAGTTCGGACTCTTTAAGGTTAATTTTAATTGTCTAGAATTTTTATAGTTCAGCATTTCTAAAAAACTTTATAGTAAAGAATTGTAAAACTCCTTCATTCAATAATGATTGAGCGTAATAAATTATTTCATATTTTTTTTAATCAAGGCCAAAAGAAGTCTGAATTGTAAGGCATACAGATTTTTACATAATTCTAATCAAAGCAGCTTTCAATGACAAAATACAAAATTAAAAGAGAAGCAGCCAAATATTTTTTTAAGAAATTAAAATTTTAGGATACGATCTCTTTCAGATAGTGAAATATGTAAAAAGAGAGATTAACATAAAGCGTTCAAACTTCCAACCGCTCTCCTAACCAAATAATTGGGATCATATTTCCTAGATTGCGATATCTATATTTTAAAATCGGTTGAAAAACATAAATATTTAAACAGAGAAATTAGGATTTACTTTTGTCTCTAATATATATTTTATATTATATTTTATTCATTTTTTCATATTTTGTTGCTATATTTTGCTTATTTTCATAACTTAAATTATGATATGCACTTATTATTTAGCATATATCAAACATGGTCCTCAAACAAGTAAGATCGCATCTAAAGTACGATAAAATCTGACCATTATATCAAAAGTTATTAAAGTGCTTCCCATTTTTGCTTGGTGCAACTTACATACACTGAGAAAAAGGTACGGCCAAGACTGCAGGAATATGGTAAAATTTACCGCGTTTCCTGCTCTATAGGAACACCAGAAAGCTTGGTGAATTTAAGCGAGGCTCTTTTGTAATGATTTTGGTAAAATTATCAATCAAATATGGCTTTATAACATGTGACAAAAGTTGGTACATTTTGTATAAATTGCATAACTTTATCATGTTACCTTAGAGCGTAGCATGAAAACCGACTTTTCAGTTTTGTATTTTTTACTAAAGGAGAGGTAATAAGAACTATAAACTTTCAAAAACCCGAATTTCCGGTAAACCGTGACCATACGAACAGAAAAAAATACCAAATGAATGGTTTTAATACCGTATATTTTGGTTTTATTAACCAGAATTATATTTGTTTTTACCAGTCTTTAACTAGTCAGTATCATACAGGACGGTGTTTTTACTAGAACTTTTTTCGACGCTTACAAGTCTTTTCTGTCGTTTTTTAGAAACAATTACGTTTTCAGTTTATTTCCACTGTCAACACATTAACTAGGCTTTAAAAAAATCTTCCCAAAAAGATCAAGAGCAGTGTTGGTCCACAAATTCAAAAAAAAGCTTTTAAATCTAGTCTCAAGTTTTAATAATTGTCGGAGGATTATTAAAAATTAAATTTTAAATCTAAAATAATAATAATACTTATTTCACTTACTATTAAATTAATAAAATTATTTAAACTTGTTTTTCAAAAATCAATCATTTATAACTCTTCTTTTAAAGAAAAATTTATTTTTAATGTAAAAATTTTACTTGAACGTCTAAACTTTCAGCGACATTTAAACTACAATCAATTGCTGCTATAGTCGTTCCCCAGTCTTCATGAAGTTTCAATCTGAAAGATAAAAAATATTTGTTTTCAGATGATACGTCTTAATTAGAAGAAAATTTCTAAATTTTAAACAGCTTCTTGATGTACAAATGAAATTAAAAACGTTCTAATTTTTAACTTCGATAGTTTTGGAAAAAATACACAATACTTGTAATCATAATCAGTCGTAATCAATGGTAAATCATGAGACACATTCATTACTTAATAAAAACAATGTTATTGGCAGCAGTTTCAGAATAGAATTTTAAAAACATTTTCAATCTAATAACTAAAAGAAAGATCAAAAAATTATGTCAACTGAAATTTTAAAATAATTAAGTCAAAAACAAACTTTTATTGTCTAATTCCTACAGGTACACTTTTTCTAAAAAAAAAAGTTAATTAAAAATTAAAATCAGATCAGACTTCAAATATTTCTCTAATTTCGGAAATAGTTTACTGAAACTCCTGATAATAATGCCTTAATAACCTAAACATAAAATCAATTCAATAATTCCTTTAAGTTTGCAAAAGAACTGACTAGAACTGATGCTTAAAGGAAAAAAAATCTGTCTTTTCGCAATGATTACCGTCTTTTTGTTAATAATTAAGGATTAATTTTATTGTATTTACCCAATAGCTCCAGCTTCAATTTGCTCTACAAGTCCGTAAGATAAATTATCTACATCAGATGTGTTTCCTTTACCTATAAAATGTTTCAAATCATTTTTACAAATAAAAATGGATAAAAATCATTAATTTGCTGAATTATAATTGAGTCTCTGTATAACTATTAATTCTTACGACTCAATACATCAACACAGTTCTCTAAAGGTAGACAACTCAAACTATAAATAAAATATTTCAAATCATTTTTGTGAATAAAAATAGAGAAAAATGCTGAATTGTAATTGAGTCTCTGTATAATTATTAATTCTTACTACTTAATGCATCAGCACGGCTTTTTAAAGGTCGACAACTCAAACTAACTGAAATATTATCCACTTTGCGCATGTAACAACGACTATTATAGCCTACTTGAAACTTATCTGACATCATTGTTTAAATAACTGATATATCTATATGGGATGGTTAAAAAATTCCATTTTATTTTCCAACTTTTATGATGTTATAATTGCAAATATTTTATATATTTTTATTTTTAAGTGAATTTGTATAAAATTTGGGTAATGTACAAAATAGTTTACATTTTTAACTACTAAACTATTTTAAGAATTTGTGTAAATTCTTTCAATTGTAAGAGATTCACATATAAGCCATAGAATAGAATTTTTTATTTGAACACTGGTAACATAAGTTTGAATTCCAATGAAAGCTTGCTGATTCGTAGAATTATCACGACTAGCCCTGATTAATGTGAAATATTCTTTAAACAAAATATCAGATGATTTTACTGCAATTATACTCATCTTTTAAAATAGTTTTTCAAATTATTTTAAAAAATTTGCTAGATAACTTTATTTTTAGATTTATGATGCAGTAATATTTAATCCAGCTTTTGCAAATATTCATAAAAATATTTTATTTTAAACAAGATTTCTCAGATTCAGCTATTCAATTTCATTGTAATTGATCCGTTGCTTTTTTGTAAAAAAATACATGAAACAACTAGTACTACCAGATGTTTTATGATTTCTTTCTCAGACTTTATTTTTAAATACCAATTACGCTTCTAAAGTAATTTTGTAAAAATTAACAATAGTAGTTTTCTGCCAAAAATTTATCGTTTTTTGAACTAATTAAATTTGCGATTGCTTTATTATTAAAACTAATTTATTTTTTAATATTACGATGCTCTCTAACTTTTAATATAATACTTGCAGAATTTTACAAAAATAATGACCAGTAAAAACTTTTGCATAGTTTGACAGGTTTCGCTACTAAGTTTCATTATGTTCATTTCAATAATTTTCTACTGATGCGGTGCCACGTACCTAAGGATATTTCCTTAGCTCTTTGTCGTACGTTAATTTTAAATACCAATTATTGTATTTGTTAAATGAATGAAAATCAACGCACCAGTGAACCCAAAATTCAAAGGATATTCATCAGTTGCTTCAATAATAAATCTGGAAAACAAATGAAAATTCATATGTGAAAAATTTACTATGTCAATAAAATCCAAGAAATGAGAATAAAGTAAGACAATGTCGAATTTCAAAACATTGCTTTTAAAAGATAGAAATAATTGGTAATAAAGAAGATAAAAATAATTGGAATCTAGATAAGTCAAAGAAAAAAATTTTCTTTATATTTATTTTTTTAAGGAATCAAATTAAATTGCTCTATATGTATAGTATATAAATTCAAAGTATTGCTCGATAAAAAATAGTGAAAACACTACTATATAATATATAATTGAGTTATTGTTTTATAATATGAAAAAAAAATGTTACCTTAAACTGCGTTATAGAAAGATTGCTGTATAATAAGTTACAATTTACGTTCAATTTCATTTTAAAATTAATCAATTTAATTTACGTTAAAATTTATTTTATTAAAATAATTTGCTCAATAATTTGCTAAATTAGCTTAATTTGTAATATAGAGAAGAGAAGAATGTTGAAAATTGTTTGCAGTAATGAAAACCTTGATGTGATTAATAAATTTAAAATAACTTATTCGAAAATTCTTCTTCAGGTTTCAGGCAGTTATTTATGACTAAATTTACGCTTTTACTTGTTAATTTAATTAAAAAAAAGTTCATTATTTCTTCCCAAATTAATTACATTGTTTTTTTTTTATTTTAATGAATTTTCTTTGAATTTAATGAAATGTTTACACTAAATAACTCGAAATATCAACTCAATAACTAAAATAAATAAAGTTGTGAAAAATTTAAAATAAATTAACTTTTTTTACACCAAATAAAATCTTTCGTGATTATGTGTAGAAAAATACAGTTAATTCCTTAGCCTAGTTGAACTATAAACATTAAATGCTCGGATCGCTTTAAACAAAGAAATAACATCGTCATGGAGGGAAACTTCTTTTATTTCAAAACACAAAACGTAATTTACAATCTCTCTGATCCTACATTTCTAGCCCGGGCAGCATTTCACTGTAACATTGCTTTGAAAATAAGATACTATTGCTACCATTATAATAATTTAAATCACTTGCATTTTTCAAAAATTTCATTGATTTTTGCAACAAGTTGGATATATGCTACTCGAAAGAAGTTGTTTTTGGTTCTTAGCTCAAATAAAAAGAAAATAGCTCTGAAAAAATCCCAGCTCCCGCATTTTACCTTAAAGCTTGGTTTAACGCAGTCTCCAGTGCTGTGATCTGAGCCTAACTGCATGTTATAAGTGCTTCGGAGAAATACGTCAAAACAGGCTTAATATGCATATTGTAAGTCAGATCTTGGGTATCACTACCACAGCCCCTTTTTGCTCTTGCAAACCTTTTCAGAACCGACGTTTTCTTTCTAACATTTCTTGTTATTTCTTCGATATGATTTTTCAAGTTAGCTTCATATCAAAAGTAACACCCAAATATTTTGTGGTTTTGACATGAACTTAGTTTAAAGAAATAATAATCTTTCAAAGAGCATTTTAAAAAAAAATTATGAATTGTTTGTTAAGATTCACGAAACAAAACCCTGTTTACTAAGAAATAATATGTTATATCTGTAGTAACCTTTGACTTTCTCAAATATGGTATAATTTTAACTTTATTTGTTATTGGTATAGCAGTTTTCGGTTAATTCCATATTTTTTAATCTATAGTACCTATGCTTTTCATATTAATTATATTAATTAATCAAATTAATTTCGACGTAATTTTAAAAATTATTTAAAAAAAGATACGTGTGTTTTTTTTTTTTTTTTTTTTTTTTTTTTTTTTTTTTTTTTTTTTTTTTTTTTTTNTTTTTTTTTTTTTTTTTTTTTAAATCAATGCGTGACGTTTCATTCCGGCATTATGCTTTTACAAAATAGGAATTACAAAAGTATGGTGATTTTCAATGCTACGTAGATTTCTTCTTAATTCTTCAAAAATTCTACAAAACTAAGGCAAACCATTTACTTTGTCTTTATTAAAAAAATGCAAATGTAGTGCTAACGTAATGTTTCCCACCTTTTAAGAAAAATACGATTTTAAATTTTATACCTTATATGATATGGTCCTGGACTGCATGTTGTAGCTCGGGTACCAGTAGCAGGTCCTGTTCCACCTCCAACTAGCGTAGTAATACCAGATGCAATGGCATCTTCAATTAATTGAGGACAGATGAAATGAACATGGGTATCAATTGCTCCAGCAGTCAGAATTGAACCTTCACCAGCAATTACTTCCGTTGATACTCCTACCACCATGTTAGCATGAACACCATCCATGACATCGGGATTTCCTGCTTTTCCAATGCCTCTGATCAATCCATCCTGAGGTTAATTAAAAATTTATTTCGTAAAATTAAGGAAAAATGATACAAATTGGATTTTTTGGAACTGTAACAGAGAAAAATGGCAAACATTATATAAATTGACAATGTAAACCCAATTTGATGCCACATATGAAATTAATTATGTAAAATATAACAAATCTAAAAGTTGATCTCAAGCAAGCCAAACTGCTTAAATTTTTCATATTTACCGTTATCTACTAATGATGTGTTGTAGGAAATTGTGACAGAGAAAATACTCTTGCAAAATTAAATGATCGGCTTTATGCTACGAAATATTTAAGAGAAGTAAGAATTAAAATTCATACTTTTATTTCTCCATTTATTAAATCAGTGTCAGTTTTAAGCTTGTTTTTCAGCTTCAACAAATCTTGTCATAAATTATTTAGTTACAATTGTTTCTATTTCGATAATCTGCATTAGAGAAGTTATAAAAAAGCGCCATTAAAAAAAGTTTAATAATTTTTCTTTTCAAAATGATTTTTTAAAGCAAATTTTGGTGGTTTACGAGAAATTGACCTAAAGCTTTAAATATGATATCAGTATCGTGACAGCCCTATGGTGGCCAAAGCCTACTACGCCCATCCCAGTTTTCGTCACCTTGGGCTTTAGGATGCAGGTGCAGATGTTCCGTTTGAGTGGTCAGCCGAACGTGGGGTGTGTTTAATTCCCCAAACATGCGTATTGCCTATTTTATCCAGCCACTAAGGGGATAAAAGGTTGAATCAACCTTCCCAGTCCAGGAATAGAACCCCTGAACCCTGTGGTGCGAGAGCAGGAATAGCTACCACTCAGTCACTGGAACTATATGAGATATTTTAAAACCATATTTTAAAAATCAGTTTTCAATTCAAATCTTCGATCAAGAAGAAATATTACCCTGGATGGCCACAATCCGAAACAATTTCAAAGTGATGACAAATGATACATAAGGTTTGTTAACAATTTCAAAAGTTTTATTTTCAAATTATCACATACACTATCTAGCCATTAATGACCGGACACTGTGAAGTTCGGCGGTAGAGGAATTATGGTGTGGTCCTGTTTCTCATGGTTTGGCCTTGGACCCTTGGTGTTAGTGCGTCGAACCCTGAACGCAGAAGGGTATAGAGACATCCTGGACAATTCGGTGCTTCCCACCCTGTGGCAACAGTTCGGTAATGGCCCGTTTGTGTTTCAACACGATAACGCTGCCATTCATAAAGCATATGCCATCACGAACTGGTTTGATGAAATGGGGGTGCAAGAGCTTGACTGGCCATCCCAAAGTCCCGACATCAATCCAATTGAGCATCTCTGGGATGAGTCGGAGCGCCGGTTTAGGGCCAGACCACAACGCCCCAAAACCACCACTCAACTCTTCGCCATGTTCCAGGAGGAATGGCGGGCAATACCTGCCGCCGTGTACCAACACATAGTGGATAGCCTCCCTAGAAGGGTTAAAGCTGTGATTCGGGCGCATGGCGGACCTACTGACTTGATACTAGCACCTCATGTATCCTAAATGAGAGTTGTCCGGTCATTAATGGCCAGATAGTGTATATCTAATTTACCAATATTTTCGATAGGTAAAGAATTAGTTAAAACATATCACGTCCACAATCTTTCTCTACTATTTTGCTTCCCAAAGGCAGTGAAAAATCCTTTAATCCAAAAAATAATCGTAATTCAAAAATATAAAAACAATTTAACGTTAAACGAAAAATTCAATTTTTCATTGTATTTTTTAGAGTATATATATATTTTCAACATTATTTGTAGTCAAATATGGTCAAAATAGTCTCATAATTGCCTATTTTAGCTGCTTTGAGCTGCTTTCTTAATTCAACAACAAATTAATTTATCACAAGTCCCTAATTCTACACTGAGAAAAAAGTATGATCAAAAGTAACAGAATATCGTAAAATTTACCGTGAAATTATCTGGGTTTTTTTTACTCCAAAAATCTCGATAATTTTTACCAAAGTGTTTCGATAATGGTTTCATTAAAATTAACAATAAAATATAGCTTTATAATATTTGATAAAATGTTGTAAAATTTGGTAATTTTATCTGGATACATTAGAAAAAGGTATAAAAACCATTCACTGGGTTAAATTTATTTTTCAGTTTTGCATTTTTTACTAAATATTTGGCAATAAGAACTATAATTTAGAAAATCAGAATTTCCGGTTAGCCTTTACCATATGAACTGAAAAATTACCAAATGAATGGTTTAAATATCGTATATTTTGGTTTTTAATATAAGAATTATGTTGCTGTAATTTTTACCATAAATATCATTACCATACAGTACAGTAATTTTACCAGAATTTTTTCCGAGAAAATGAACTAGCCTTACCTCTTTAAATTATTAAAACAAATGAAACTCTCAAATATACTTAACTTTTCTATAATTTAGAATGAATAATTTTCATTGCCAGCCCTAAACCTATTACGCAATAAATTTAAAAATATTATTTTCTGATAAACTGGAAAAATATTTGATTAATTAATTTAATCTACATCTTCTTGACGGAAACATGTCAAATCAATAAAATTTAATAGAAGAAAATGCACATAAATTTATGAATATGAAGATACCAGAATAAATTAATGGAAATATCATTCGTTCGAACTCGTTTAATGAAACAATGTCTTAAATAAACCTAATGAAAATCAAACTAGCGAAATTATAGTCAATTGAACTAAAATATACAATCGATACGATGGAGTTATTTATCAAATTAACAGAATCATAATCAGGCGAATATCAATATAATCAATTAACTGAAATATCGGATTTTTTTAATCAAAGTATGTTATTATTTTAACAGTATAAAGTAATTATAATTAATCTAACGAAAATATCGAAATCTAAAAATAAAATATTGCTTCTAAACTTATTTCATCATAAATGAAGCTCAATTGTCTTAGAAAGAAAAATATTTATAATTGTTATCTCAATATTTATAACAACTAATATATAATTAGTCTCTAAAAATATTTTTTCTAGTAGACAGGAAAATTCTCGAGAGATTCGATTTCAATAATTTCCTTTCTGTAGAAGAGTATTGTAAATATTTAACATTTGAAATATATCTAACAGAAATACAAGTTAATTTAACAGAAATATCTATTCAACTTAAGACAAATTTAACATAAATATTTCTTATCACAATCTCAAAAACTATTCCGACCAATATACAATAAGTCTCTAAATATATATTTCTGTTACTTTGGAAGAATTCGTGGAGGATTAGATTCAGATAGAAGTTTCTGATGAAGAACGTTGTAAACGTTTAACATTTGAAATCTCCTTAATAGAAGTAGTAATTAATTTGACAGAAATATATACTCTACTTAAGACAAATTTAAGACAAATATTTCTTTTTACAATTAATATATAATATAAGCCTTTAAATATATTTGTCCCTGTGAGCTGGAAGAATTCTCATGAGATTCGATTCAGATTATATATTTTTGGATGAAGAACATTGTAAATGTTTTATATTTGAAATCTATCTAACAGATGTACAAATTAATGTAACAGAAATTTATACTCAACTTAAGAAAAAGACAAAATCAAAAGGAATATACAAATTTTATGAAGCTATCCAACAATTTACCGCATTTAAAATCAACCAAATTATGCAACTATAACTAAGCAGGAATGAACAATCAAATATGCAATTAAAGTCAAGTGAATGCAATTATAGTCAAATGAATACAATAAATTATAGTGAATTTGCCGGCCAGTTGGCCGAGCGGTTAGCGTGCCTGCCTGCGGAGCCAGTGGATGCGGGTTCGAATCCCTCTTTGGGCATGGATGTTTCTTTCTCTCTCTTTGTGTTCTATGTCCTTTCTCCTTTGTGTGTGTAATTGTGTGAATGTGACCCGCCCTATAAACGGGTTGTTGTTGTGAGACGTGGGCGGCGCTGCTCCACCATCGTGGCTTCGCCGCAGGTGCCCACTGGGTAACGAGAAAAAGGTAGCAGTTCTGGCACTTTCTGAGGCCAATAGAAAATAGTTCCAAGTGCCCGCCATTTAAAAAAAAATGAATTTAGAAATATTACAATCAAGAAAACAGAATCATAACCATTTGAACAGCAATATATAATTAATTTACGGAAATGTATAATCCTTTTAACAGAATTATATATCAATTTGAAGTAATTATAATCAAATTAGCGATCCTATAAAATTCTAAAAAAATATATTGTTTCTTAAATTATTTAAGCATAAATTAAACTATAACAATCACAACTTCGTATAATTTAAAACTTCTATTTATTTTAACTATTCTAAAAACTATTACAACAAAATGCAATAAGCTTGTAAGTATAGATTTTTCCGGTAGATTCGAAGAACCTTTGAGGGATTAGATTCCGATAGATCTTCTTGATGAAGAGCTTTGTTAACGTTAGACATTTCAAATCAATTTTCCGAACGAAGTAGAATTATAAAAAAGACTAAGCAATGAGAAAATAATCCGGAGTTTCACAATCACTTAATCCAATTATAAGTTTTCTATTGAAAACTTCCGACTACCTTGTCATATTATTTATCTTGCTAAGAAATTATTTTCTCGTGAAACTCTTAAAATAAGTTTAACATTTATTATTTTTTTAAGGAATTTTCATCAATGCGTTTGAGATTTTTAATTTCTGGAGAATTGATTGTTTGCGTTGGGTAAATTTAAAGGCCTTAATTTTATTTTCAATTTATTTTTAAAATTAATTAAACTTTTGTATTGTAGTAAGAGAATACTTGCGGTGGTAGAACTTTGAATATTAATTTTAAAGATTCAATTTTAAAACTATAAAGGTAAGATTTGTGATCAATTACAGTAAAGTTTTAAGACATTAGATGATTTAATTAGTATTTGGATAAATAACTGCTCCAGTACTAATCATGAGTAGTGAGGTAGTTTATTTCGTTAAAAATGTACTTTGTGGACAAGTTGTTATACAAGCACACTCGACGACAGGCTGAATACTT